CCTCAATGCCCTCTTTTAGCCTTCTACTTAGGGTTGATTATTAGATTTATAATATTATATTTAGTTATTAAACCTGAACCTTAGTATAACCTAACTTCTAGTCAAGTTCTATATCAGAACCAGTTTATACTTTTTCAATGAATACAAAACTCGAATTGAACTACATACTCTATTTCACTACATTTCTGGTATATAACTAAACTTATAATTTACTAAAACTTATATAATTACAAGTAATATAAGACTGTAATTTTTGTAACACAACCCTAAATATAAGCTAATTAGCTAATATTTTGGCCAGCTAATCACTTGTATTACATACATATTATAATTTCACACTATTATAAATATTCACAATGAATATGCATGAAATTATTTTGTTAACAAACTACTAACATCACTCAACTATAATTATGTCTACATTTTAAAATGTTATTAGTTACACAATTTGTCACATCTAAAATTTTATCATATGATTTTTATAATTACACAAATTAATAAATTTACATTTTTAAAAATTTTGTTCAAAGTTTTAGTTAAAATCTATGATCTTCTTTTAAACAAAGTTGTTGCTGAGACTAATACGAACAGATCTGTGTAAAAAATATAAAAAACCATTACTTTGTTATAAAATACCACACCTTTGAAATAGGCAATAATTTTGTTTATTTTTGTATGATTCTTGATTAGTTTGCAAATTATTGACATAAGAAATGAGTTATCAGTTGTGTCAGAAAGAGAGCTTTTGACAAAATACATCTATAAAGGGCTGGTATATTATAAAGTTAGTGGTAAAAGTCAAGGAAAACAATTTTATAGCAAGTAGATTGTATGTTTATTTATTGTCTACATTTTGGATTTTTGTTTTCTGATTACAAAATGATATTTTATTACAAAATTCACTTATTATAAGTTAAATAAATCTATTTTAGTAAGTTTTAGGTTAGAATTAAATAACTTTATATATGTCTTCAATATCTGGTATACCATCAATTCCAAATTTGTTTTTATGTCCAATAATTAGTATGTGATAACAATTTTCAACTAGCTTATCAAGAACTTTACTGAGCAATATAGTAGAATCTTTATATTCTTTAAGCTTTTTAATAATATGTTCTTTATCAGCTGTAGGTTTATGCATTACATGTTTTGTTAGGTCTGATTTTTGAGATGATAATTCCAAAGGTAAACTAATTTCAGATTGTAAGTCTCTAGTCTCTTCAATTTCTATATCTTTAGTGAGTTCTGGAGCCTGCACAGAACTACTGATTGTTTTTTCTGTTATAGTAGCTTCTCTTACATACTTCTTATTTTTTACTTTCATAAGCATTATATCTAGTTTACCTCATCATACTTTAATTTGTGAAGTAGTATTATGAATATCTTGTTCAACAATAGTATCTATTCTTTTACTTCCTGATTCATAACAGGTAAGCATCTATCAGTAAACATTGTCTGTTAGTTATATAGTTTCTGCAAATAATGTATAAGATTCTAGTTGTTGACTACTAAATTCTAATTTGAGTTCAGAAATTAATTCCCAAAGGATATCTTAATGATAATTAACAGAGCAAAGACTTCTACTTATTAACTGATCTTCAGAAAACTTTAAAATAAATAAATTAAGTTAATTATATTCTGCTGGTACTGCTTTTATATTTAGTTTCAGGTTTTCAAAATCTATTGTCTAACCAGTTATATTCTGTTTCAGAAACTTCATACTGAACATTTCTAAAGCCTTATCAAATGCAAAGAAATATCTTTCCTAAGTTAAATTAATTAACAGTACTGATCGAAGGTCTTGAAGAAATTGGAAGTTACTTTGAAGATCTGATAAGAATCATACTATGGACTCAGCATATCTTTTTTTCTCTGTTATTAAGAATATAAGTGCAAATGCTTTCAAGCTATGA